GGGATGATGAGTCACAGCCAAGATGACTAAGTAGTATTTTATTTTTAAAGAACGTCACAAATAACTCTAAAGAGCAAAAAGCATTAGATAATTGATTTTGTTATAAAGGACTTTAAGAGATAATTTAATCTTAAAACACAGTATTCAGCGTTCCGTATGTCTTTTTATCAAAGAGCACCCCAAGTCAAAGTATTCCTGTGGTGTGCAGCTGTGAAGTGTGCAACAGCAGAGATGTGTGCAGCGCCACATACTACCTGGTGTATGTTCAGAGGATGGGGTGCAAACTTGGAGTAGTGTGCAGCATGATGGAAGTGTGCAGTGTTTGACATTAAGATTTCTGCACAGGGTACTCCAAGAGTTTTGCAATTGGAGAACTCACTCTTGTCTGAGTCATCACTTCCCAGAAATGTTATATAGAAACAGTTTACGACACACACATGCCTTCGCAAATATTTGAGGGCTTTTTTTGGATTTTAATCATAATTTGTGGGGGCATACATTGCAGTTTCAAAAAGGAAATACAAATATGAACAATGTCTATGTTCAATGGGTGTGTACAACACCATCTTGTGGTTAATCTGGAAATTACAGCTAGGATTTAATTTAAATTTCCAAATAAGTGCATTAGTGTATTTATTTATGCCCAGTCCAATATTTGTTTTAGCTTCACCTAAAATAAATTTTCTGGACTAATAATAATAATAATAATAATGTCAACTATGAACACTGTTATTAGTTGTATCAATATCTTAAGGTTGAATTAGCATTTGGGCTGTGTGATGGAGTGCTATGGGTGTGAGAAGCGGTGGGCTGGAGGGAGTAATGTGCTGGAAGAATGTAAACATTGTGCTGCTCTGAGGGCTGACTTCAAAGTGAGCCTGTGGTAACCTCCTCTCAGCGGTGGCGCACACCCTTGACCGATGAAAAGTGAAAGTGAATGTTCATCCACGGTCTACAGCCTCTTCCTGAAACCCCTCTTTGAAGTCACAAAATGGATCTGATTGACTCGTGAAGTAGACACATATATAGAATAGAATAGAGTAGAATAGTATTTGATAATGCACATGCTGCCAGTGTCTCTCCCACAGGTTAAACATAATGACGTTGAAGCATATCAAAGTATTTAGAGATTAGTTTTCCCACAGTGCAATAGGCCAGAAAGACTACAATACATCATCTTTGGTCATAGCAATTTTAGCACTTAGCACATTCATGTGACAGGTGTTTCCTCAGAGCTTTTAACTTCAGTATATAATCAGGTGGGGAAACTCACATTTTATTACATGAATTGCAGCAAGCAAAGACATTAATCACAAGGGAAATTAAAACTAAATATAGTGATTGTTAATACAGATAATATATGTTATAAAATGTTGTAAATATCATATAAAAGCAATAAGTTACTCTGTGGTATCAGTATATGGATATTCCATAGATGTTGGAAGCAACAGACTATAAAATGCTAATTAAGATGGAATTTGTCTTGAAAGCATCTACATAAAATATGTTATTTGTTTATGGTTAAAAGATAACATTGGTTAGGTTTGTCCAGTACAGTTTTGTGTATTGGACAACCTATTACTGGAAGCGTGGTCTCTAACACATTAAAATAGCTCAAAAGGTTGAAAAACAACCATGAACAGTGACATAGAGATGACCTGACAGTAGTATCAAGTTTATGTTTCTGTTTTAAATTCTGCTCTCTTTCTTTGCTACATCTTGGAATTGGTTTGGTTGATTTATGTAATTAAAAGCTCCATATTTAGTTAGAAAGTCAGACAGAGCATAACATGCCTATCACACCTGTTTATCCTGTAGTTTCTAGTACAGTATATATATAGGGCTTCTTTATGTCCCATTGCCCCTGTTTAAACTACCCTAGCCTTGAGATTAGATACTGTAACATCATTATTACCAGAGAGGCCCGCTCAGATGGAAATAGAGGTAATGTTAGTAATTTTAATTCTGTTCATTCTCAAAATAGCAAGTCTAATGCAGTTAACGCTGCAGAGGCAACAGTTGAGACGAAAGCTTAAGTTTGAAGTGTCTGAATATGCACTATAGTTAATGTATTATGTATAATGAATCCCTGCACCTCTCCTGAATTTGGACTTCCGGTGCGGCTTATTACGTTTTTATGGAAGTAAAACTGGTCCAACTAAAATGACATAATGAAATATAAAATAACTTTTTTCCACACACATTTTTGCATGGTTTCTTTAACAAGTCATATAAAAACCCTGTTTAAGTGATTAGAATGAATCGAGGAACAGATAAACCACACTTTTTAAAAGTGTTTAAAACGCAACCCAAAATGGTGACCTCAGCTCTTCACACAAACTCAATAGACTCTGTAATAATGACATTGTCTGAGGGGTGTATGTTAAGAAGTCTGCCGGTGTGATCAGTGATAGAGGCTGGATTCTCCTGTGTGTCTGAGCTCTTCATCATTATCTTGGCCCGATGAATCATGTCTTGAACACAGGGAACAAAACTCTTGCGGCGGCCTTGTTCCAGACACGACGGGACGCCAGGAGGGACAATAAGAGAGAATTAACGGTGAAAAAAGCAAATAAATAGGTGCTTCAATACATGACAGCCCAGCAACAAAGCCCACTGTGGATGAGAGGGAGAGCGAGGGAGAGATAGAGAGAAGGAAGGGAGAGAGAGGGAGAGGCCTTGATGAAAATAAATAGTGGAGCTCAAAGGGAGGCAAGGGTTGAGCGGATTGGAGGTGATGATGAGTGGAGAGCTGTACAAAGTAGTACATCTATGGGAAAGGTTTTAATGAGGCAGGGTGTGTGTGTGTATGTTTTCTCATCTGTGACACAGACACTCAGAAAATCCTCAGCAATGATACTCCAAACTTCCTGTCTCCACGTGGGTGGGTGAGGATTTCTTTAAGTGTGCAACATTGACAGACAGACAGATAGATAGATAGATAGATAGATAGATAGATAGATAGATAGATAGATAGATAGATAGATAGATAGATAGATAGATAGATAGATAGATAGATAGATAGATAGATAGATAGATAGATAGATAGATAGATAGATAGATAGATATAGAGTCTTATAATCAATAATGAGAAATAAACAAGAGGTCACATAGAGTCTATGTCATAGACAGTGATTAGGCCTGCAGCCGATGTAAAGACATGTGAGCAGCACACCACAGATGCTTGTTGTTTTCCAACGGCTCCGAGGCTTTGTGTATCTGTAAACCCTCAAAGCAGCATGAGGCCTTTCAGTCTACCGTCGGTCCTCAGTTGGATTCAGGGAACTCAAAACAAACTCAAATCAATGACAATATAAAGAACACTTGTAGAACAACCAGGAAATCTTATGCTGGTGGTATCATGAGTTCAGGACATCACAGTCACACTGTTTACAGCATTACATGGCCATTCAACAGACAATCCATAATGAGCCATGTTAGCTGAGGTAAGCTAATTAAGCTGGAGAAAAGGACACCTGAGACTCTCAGGACCAGCTTCCCGGTCAGGGTTTACACTAAAGACAGGCAAAACAATGGAAACAGATAAAACACATTCACAAACAAACTACTAAAGAAAAATGGAAGTATTAAGTATTGTAATGGACAACTGCCCCTTGAACGCATCAATTATAATTGAATAGCATAGGCTTTATTTAAATGTATTGCATCTATAATGAAAAAAGAATGTATATTTATTTAATTCTAAAACACAACTTCAGACACAATTAAAAAAAGATTATTATTATTATTATTATTATTATTATTATTATTAACTTCAGATTCAGCTTGCAGGGACGCATGTCGAGTCACAAAGGGGTTTTTATTGGCTTAAAGACAATTGGAAGGCAGCTGCCTCTTCCAGTGCTGCCAACAGCGGATTAACATTCCTCACTTATAACACTTTCACACACACACACACACACACACACACACACACACACACACACACACACACACACACACACACACACACACACACACACGTGAGATAATGAACGCAGGTTCAGATCTGCATTTAACCATTGATATTAGTAAAAAACCTTTTTGTGGTTGTCACCATTACTTAAGTAAACCTAGGAGAATGGATGAATGTATGTTGTTAAACCTAAAACGTGTGTTCAGCATTCATACCAAAGCTCCCACAGATCTTAAAGCCAGGGTATTAATCAAGCAATACATTATGTTAAGGAGGTTTCCCTTCTCCTCCGCTTGTGGTCTTATTCCTATCAAAGTCCCTTATATCAAGTTGCTCTACATCTCTGGAAAATGAGAAAGCCTTATTTCAGTTTGGGAAAGTAGCATTAAAATTATAGCTAAAATATGTATTCAGCAATAATCATTTATGGGTTAGCAATGGAGCAGTCACTGGGTGACAAAAGCCTAGTTGAGTGCCATTCCCATACCCATGAAACACTCTTCGTGTGTTAAGAGAGTTAATTATTATTTAAGAAAGATGCCTTGCACATGGGCGAACAGAGGAGCTCACAAACCACAGACAAAGACTGAAGCTAAACCCGCACAAGCAAACCACTTGTTCCAAATGACCATTCCCGCAGGAATTCAGCTAGGTGGACAAAACACGTTCTCTACGTTTACGAAAAAACCTGCATTCTCATGTCCAGTCCACATCATCTACACACTTTTACACAGTGCCTAGAACTGCCTGGCAAATTCTACAGCAAAGACATCCCGCGATGCTGGCGACAGAATAAAGGCAATTAAACAATGTTGGCACCATGCTTGGACAGCCAGGCAGCCATATGTCTTGCAAATTAACCTCCCACATAAGAGAAGACAGAGGCAGAAACTAGACTAGATTAGAATCACACACATTCTCCCTTTCTTACCTAGCTTCTCTTTGTGTTCAATCAGTTCTGCATTGTAGCCAATGTACAAGTCTCCTATTTTTCATGTATCCTCCATTAGTACCCCAGTGGCAGTGACAGCTAATTTGCACTCAAATATTTTAATTTAGATATGAAGTACTTACTTACTTTCATACTTGTGCCCTTGGCTCCCCCTGGGACCTTCAGTTATTGACGCCTTCTCCACATCTTTCTCCTGTGTGTTCTAGCTGTGGCCCGTCACCTCTATTTCAGCCTTCTACAAAGAAATTAAGTGGTATGTTTTAATTTGTATCGTGGCACCAGTGATGCTCAGTGCTACACATTTCCATGCATCTCTTGTAGGCTATAAAGAACTGAAAGAAAATCTGAATTTCTATTTGATTAAGAGCATCAAGCATGTGATCCGTGCAATAAAATACATTACATCTGTACTGTCTTTTTTATTTCTCCCGAGCACAAACTTGAGCCTCTTTTACCCATTCAGTGGCAAAAATAAAGGAAAAAGAGCATTCACAACACAAGAAATCTTTCTTGCAGGAAAGAAAATACATAGTTTTTGCTATATTAGCTGAATGGGTGATATTAAGAAAAAGGATGGTTGGCAGCAATGTTTTTCCAATCAAATTGGCTTTTGATTATATACATGTATCAACTGATTCTGGTTAAGCAAGAGCCTCCAATACGCTTTGATCTGGGGCATGCTGCTTGTTGTTACTTCAGTCACGCCAATAATCAAGTTTGTCCATCCATTCACTCCATGATGGAAATACTAAAATTTTATAGAGTTAAATTCACGACAAATCCAATGAGGAGCCGTTTATTCATTTCACAAATAAACCCCAGCCAGATACTATTGTGCCTGGACTGAAGGGAATCCTCTGGAAAGTGGTTCATTTCCAGAACCCTGAAATAGCTTAAAGGAAAATTCTGCTATCAGAAAGTTCTCAAATTGGGCAGCAGACACAGAGACTCCTAGGCAGAAAGTAAAAAAAGAATAGAGTTCATGTTCTTTGCTTATCCAGTGATCTTAAATATGCCATATCAAGGCAGAGGAAGAAAGTCTGCTATAGATGGCAGAGAACATAAATAAATAGTGTAGACAGGACAGACATACCATGCTGTAACTAATATATGCTAATGTGATAAAAAAAAAATAAAAAACAGTGTTTCTTAATGTTTTTATAAGATACTGTCTGGCTTATAAGATTAGCAACCAGTAAAAATAATGAAACCATGATCAGCTCTAGTCTAAAGCTATCTAAAGTAACCTGTGAAACATTTCTATGAATAAACGCACGCAAGTTTGCAAATACACAACCACTTACACCAGTGCATCTCCCTTTTGCCCTCTAGTTTCCCTCTCCTTAACCTGATATTCACTGAGAAACCCAAGAATAAATCATGATTAAATAAGGGTAATACGTCAATTTCATTACATGTCTGGTTAATTTACTCACTAATTGTTATTTCCTTTATTTATTTTTTTATTTTTTTGCTTTCATCCAGTTTCAGGTTGTTCAAAAATGTTCCAGTCGTGCTCCGGCCCAAACAACCAGTGGGTGATGAGTCAGGAAGATGATGTACCGGGTTTATATGATTCTGGACCACATCCACGTAGCTGGCCTGAGTTCTACCCTCCTCTGCCCAGCAGCACTGTTCATCATTCCCGCTCTCAGTATCCTTATGGTAGAGCCTACACCGCTGCACAAACCCCTGTGTGGCGCCAACCACAAAACACGTGGAAGGTAGGTACAACAGAATGTTACGGTCACACTGCGAGTCTATGAGTCTACAGCTAATGCCAGCGGCTTGGTGAGGCTGTAGTTATGCGCTGAGCTACAGGCTAACATGCTCACAATGCAATGTTAACATGCTGATGTTAAGCATTAGTAACATTTACTAATTAGCACTATACAGAAAGTACAGCTAAGGCTGATGAGAATGCAATTAGTTTTGCAGATATTTGGCCAAATAAACCAAAGCCTAAACCGTAATTAAAATGAGATTTCTTTGATGACAGCACTAGATTAATTGTTAAGAAAACCTCAGTTATTTATTACAGTTATTATCAATTTATCTCGAGGCAGATATTAACGTTTCATGGCAATCCATTCAATAGTTTTTGCGATATTCAAGGAACAAAGAAAAGTTCTGTGATCAGGTTCTACTTTTATAAAGATGTTTATACATATATAAATATTATGATATAAAGTATTTATCCCTATCTTCATCATCAACTGGTCTTCAAATAACTTCAATGTATTTCTTGGGCTTTGTTTTTTTTTTGTATGGCTCTCCCTTTGATCATCCTCAATCTCTTTACATTACATTACTGGTATATGGTATCCAGACAAAGAACTGATCACAATGCAACCAACTACCACCTCCAGTTTAAAAGGCCCACCATCAAAGTGAGTTTTACTTGCCCACACACCTCCCCTAATAGCCCATACATTATCACAGGTATATGATTACTGAGCTGTCAGGTTAAAACAATTTAGTCACATGGATAATTGCAGAGCTCAAGCAAATGCATCAACTGTCATAAATATAAAAACACCATAAGGTCGTAAACACAGCAGGGCTTCTCCTACCTACAGCATGTAAACAACATCAATGACGCATTGTTGTCGAGGCCTTTGAAAAAAAGGTTAACAAAACAAGGCAGTTACAGTGAAGATCATTGATCGATTGCAGACTACATATTTTATTGATATTACTCTCCTTAAATGCTGCTTTCAGTGGCAGTACATTTGTGTGCTTACAGTTTGTGTGCGACCATCTGCCACTGATACATACTGGCCCGATTGTGACCACATTGCTGTTGTTCACACATGTCGGGAACCATTTTTGAATGAACTTTGTGTTTTAGGGGTCATTTCTTTGGAATTCTGTCTCTGGGGATTGTAGCGCCATTGTCCAAGCAACTAAGAACCCCACACAATGCGCTGACAGATCACTGAGCCATAACCAGCCGCTGCAATTACTGTATGCCATTCGATGTATGCGTACTGTGTGGATTCATGTACTCCTGGATATATGTGCATTTTTCTAGATTGCACAAAGATTGCAGACCTCATTTGGGATTTAAAAGAAATCTGATCTATTTTCCTGCTTTGCTTTGATGCAAAAGTGAGACTGAATTTTGGATGTTTGGGATACATTGGGGCTGTTGTGAAAGGAGCCAAATGACTCCCAGATCGGCCGTAGTTGTCTCTCAGGCTTTATGGAAGGAATTTCTGGAAGGGAGATATGAATCAGACTATTAGAGGAGGAACAGAAAACATCCCTACATTAGATGGATGACTGATAGACTTCAAAGCATTGTTGCAGTATGTTTCTCACTTCTGTAGGAGGCCTTTCATGTGCTAAAGTTGCTCTGGAGTGTGGTGTGTGTGTTTGTGTGCATGTGCAAGTGCCTGTGGGTGTTTGTGAGTCGACTACTGCCTCAAGGTACAAGCTGCCTCCTCCAAAACCTGAGGAAGAGAGGTTAGGTAGATACAAGTAAAGGTGAAGGTGAGGAGATTCTTTCCCCAAATAAAAAGATCAGAATAGCTTCGAGATGCTATTAAGAAAAAATAGGTTTATTTAGGTTTGCTAACACGCTGCTGTTTTAATGAAATTTGGCACTCTTCAATCATAATCAATAATAACAGGTACTAACAGGTAACATTTCCTATGAATTTCCAGAAAATGTATATTTAGTTAATATTTGCTCACCAGGTGCTCACTTTTTATAAATAAACCATTATGCGCGCACAGCAGGGGTAGTGAAAAACATGTTGCAACAACGTCAGGAAGGTTAATTATACAAATTCTCAGCACTTGAAACAACTTGTATTAAACCAGTCAAAATACAGTTTGAAGGTGAATTTGTATGCTGCACTTTTTGCCACATCTGTTTGAGTCAGTCAGCTAAATTCCAGTGAGAAACTGCAGCAAGTAGAAATGATAACCAAGACTATAGACAGTTGTAGTGAAAAATAAACTGTGAGTATCCCAAAATACCAATCAGTAGCACGGCCTAAAAGCCCAGAAGCCACGTTAACGTTAGCATAACCAAAAGTAATATTTGCATACAGGAGGAAATTCCTGCACACAGCCACACAGGATTGTGAAACGAGACTCTGCACACATGTTCAACATTTTGTTCCTAAAAGATTCTGCCACCTCTATTAGCTGTAATCAAATCCCATCCTAAAACTCTAAACTTTAATCAAACTGAATACCAAAGCGTTGAGAAAGAGAAAACCAGCAAAATAATGAACATTTTCCGCCCATTTCTTTTGCGATTTGTGTAATTAGGGGTATGAGTAGGGTTATAATTGTCTCCTCTTAACCTCTTAGTCCTTGTCGTTTGTTTTCTACCCCCCTCATGTAATATTGTAGTACATTCTGTAGGTTCTTTCTGAAAAAAAATTGCTTGTTATACAATACTCTCAGTGTGGCGTTAGACCAGCAGTGTTCCGAATCCAAATCTGGTGTGTTCTGAAACTGCTGTCACATACAACATTGCGAGTAGCACCACAACTCAAGGTTTGTTTGTCTAATGTCCATGGCAGAGCCTGTGAGTCACGGTGGAAACAGACACATAACTCTGGCGTGTTGTCGGGTGGTGAATCAAGTCATGCGAAAATGTCTACAAATTCAGTCGGCCAGCTTGTACACACTGTTGATATCAAAGAGAGACACGCAGTGGTTTGTTTTAACTGTAATTTTATATGCAAACACACTCAATTCAACCTTAAAATAGAACAAATGACTTATCCATATTGGAAAATCCTTTGTCAGTCCCTCCACAAGGTCGGCCACAGCTCCATTATGACTAGTGAGACATTCAGTGCATAAAAACACTTCAGTGGAGCAGGTGTTGGCCAAAAACAGTAACTTACACCTGAGCCCTGAGGTCAGGATTTGGATTATGCCACCCTGAGACGTGAGATGGTGCGTAAGGAAGAAAAACGGTTAAAAAGCTGTGCGAAAGGGGCACTGTGGCTGATGCTAATGCAAAGATGGAAAATGAAAGTGAGAAACTGAGATACTAAGGGGAATGGAGAAAGAAAAAGAAAAACTAAAGAAGGAAGGAGGGAAATTACAGACATTTTAGGAGGAAGGAAAAGGGGGAGGAGACAGCCTGAGGAAAAAGGAAACAGCCGAGACTTAGCCAAGATTGGTGTGAAGGAAGAGAGGAGAAGAAATCAGAGGAATGCGTGAGACAGGGAGAGAGTAAAAAGAGGAGGGTGTCAGGGTAGCAGG